TTTTGGACATATGATCGTGGCGCAAGACATCGTTTATCACTGTTGCGCTCCGTAAAATTGGGCTCGGGCTTAGTACCGTACGATCCTTTGAAATGAATGATCACGTCTGCGAATACCAAGTAAGGTTTGATTGACTACTACACTTCGCAAAACGCAAAAGAGTTTTCTCATTTTCACAGCAAAAATAAGACAAAAAAATCATTTGTTCATATGGCAGGCATTATTTGTTGTCGATTTAGTCCACTAGCTAGGCTACCTATATAAAAAACAGGATGGATATTGAGCCAGGTTAAGTGATCGTTTCCGCTCGGTTAAGCATTCGTTCATGATTTATTATTCCTTCGGTCCTCAGTCATTTGGAAAATATGAGCATAAATTTCGTTTTTATTATCTCTGTATTTTGCTTTCGCAATGATCATACCTAAATATTTATAATCAATTTTTTATTGAATGTGAAATAGCTCAATTGCATGTTTACCTCGATCATACCCCGATTCTTTGGCATAGAATTTCTGATTTTTCTTGTTGTTCAAAATTTAAGCTCAAAATTTGGTAAAGATGTAAGATTTTTAGAGCAGGAAACCCAGCATAAGATGGCGTTATTAGACAGCTAAATTTCATGTATTCTCTCAACTTCGTGCAAAAATATGAACTATGGTGCAATTACACCAATGACCTCGAGTTTTGCTGCAAGTATAAGCAAAACGTAAAGATTTGTACTTTCTTTTTCCGCCAACGCTTTACATCATCATCATCTGTGGAGCTTTGCTATTTTTATAGCTCACTTCCGAAGGGATAGGTTCGCTTTGGGATGACTCACCTCCAGCAAGGGCAACATCTCGTCGCACAATACCCACTTATTCACCGGCGACCGTAGTCGAGGAGGCGAGAAGTTTCCGAGGAGACAATTATGGGCTCGGTATGGCTCATTGCAAGAACACACTTTCACGGGTTCTCATGCGCATGGAATGAATACACGGGGGGGGGACGCCCCACTTGTAGTCGTCCTTCAGCGCCAGTATACCTCTGCGTCATTCTGTGCGGTGCCGACTGCGAATCGATACGATGCAAGTTCTCCAGAGAAGGGGGGGGGCTGTTCTATGCAGCTTTTTCTAGTAAAAGCTCAAATTACTGGGGATTCTGTATCAGCAATTCGGTCACTTCATGTCAGCAAATTATCCCCCCCCCCTGTAATCGCTAAGAAAACAGAACGCTATCAGCGCAAGGGGCGGAAGCAGCTTATGCTGCTGATTAAGTCCTCAATCGCCCCGCTACTTGTTTGGCCTGAGAATGGACCCCTATGCTATCGACCATCCTAGCAATTCTTATCCCCCCCCCTCCTCCCCCCTCCAGCTTACCCATTTTGCATTTGCTATTCACACTTCATTGATCGGGGCAAGACGTCAGGGGCATGGATAAATGAATTCCCAGGCGAAAATGACGACTGGTTCGCGCATTTTGCAATGTTTTCGTTTCGGCGTTATTGATGTCGCTCCATGATTTGTCCTTTCGCTAGTTTCAGCGAATTGTCTTAGCAGTGTGTTTTGTTTGCTTCAAACTTTCTTTTAGTTTATTCTACAGATAATTTCCTTTGTTCTCCACATTTGTATGAATTGCGCATCAGAATGTCCGCATTTATTCATTTATTTATTGATTTCTTTATATGATAACAAAGTGCGCGAAAAGAAATCAATATGACACAATAGTAAAACGTGAATAGATGTCCAGAAGAAGAATCCAGTAATCCTTTCTTCTTGCTCGTCCAGGTCATTACTACTCTTAAATTTGTGGAGTACGCAAATCTGCTGCTATCATTGAAAAAAAATTGCCTAGAATTCTCTTTTTTTCCTCGAGATGGAGAATTCGATTTCGAGGCCCTTTTCCTTCACAAGGTTCATCAAAGGTTGAGGAAAGCTTAAAATGATGAACTTTTTTGAAAAGCCGTGAAATTCTAGGAAAAACATTTTCGTGTTCTTACGTTGAAGATGAACTCATCCATACATCAGTTATGATAGAATCATTATTTTCTCATTATTTTCATTCTGTAAACACTGATTTTTTGTTTAAGGGACTCAAAACGCTTTGCACAAATTGTCTATACAAGCTTGAACTTGTTTTTTCCTGTCCCCAAATAGCAAATAATCCAGAATGAAATGGATTACGAGTATAAACATGTTAGGGCGATCAAGCTTGTTTTGACAATGCGCAAAGCAGTTTCGAGTCTCATAGCCATAAACTGAATGATACATCTTTCTGACATTTTGAAAATTTCTTTCACATAGTTGAATTTCTCCTTGTTTTTTGATCATTTTATTGTGACTGACTAAATAGGGATGATATACTTACAAATCCATACGACAAGCTACAGAATCCTGATCATCCGCACCGTATTGCTTGCTCAAAGCAAGCCTGATTGGTTCTCAGCATTGATCAGCACTCACCTAGCGTTGCAGTAAAGTACACTTTGTTCCGTAATTATGTGGTGGATGCACGCGAAGGTTCAATTAGCGGACGAATTACCCTGCTGGGAAAAAACTTCGAGCACCTGGGCATGTGGAATTATGCAACAGAGCTAAGGAAGCTCTGTGAACTTTGTAATTCCACTTGTTCGAGCGCTAAACGCGGTAGAATACGGGTATCTGTAGTTTACTTTTCCCAATTAAGTGATCACACTTCGCGATTTAATTTATGGCAGCGGACAGTGCTAATTCAAGGGCATTTGCGATATTATCGGAAGCGCGCGAATAAAAAAACCTTACCGCAAATGAATGAAGATTTTATTGGCGATGCGTCAGCTAATTTGTCATGATCTTCCACGATGATAAAATTTGCAGAAGTAAGTTTTGAATTCGTCAGCAGTGAATGTGCGCGGGATCTTTGTATTTGTATTTACCGTATTCTTTCTTCATTGTGAACTGATTATCCGAGCTTTGTGAGACGGAGAACTACTGTGAACTCATATATTTAATTTTGAAATTAATCAGTACTTATTAGAAAGTTAAGAGGACCTTTGATTGGCTTATAACGTGAAATTCTAGAATCTTTGAATTGCAAATGCTGCCCATACTGGTCATTATGCCCTAGCATCTCTCATTTCATTCTTTTCATTGTTACCATAATATTGGACTTCTTGTTTTTGGCTTTTGTACAAAATTGCTTGATATTCTATGAATGACTTATTGGGAAGCGAATGGTTGAAATATTGAAATCGAATTTTTGAGATGCCTAATCAGTTTTGTTCAGGTTGCATAAGTATGCAATGGGACCTTTGATTTATTCTGCGCTAAAATATGAGAGGGAAAAAATCTGGAAGAAAATTTCAAATGGAACATACAAGAAACTGTTATTGTATGACATGGAGATGGTTGTCGATCGCACCGTAATCGTCACTCAATTGCGCGTGAAAATTGAGCCAGAAATAAAAACCGCAAGCGCTCAGTGGTTTGAGTCGAGTAAATCAGTTTTTTGCTTTTGTGAGTATCATCCAAACTTTGTTATGGTGTCCGGAGTTATCTGTTTGGAATGCGTTGAGTACTGAGTTTGTTTAAGTTAGGGCATGTTTTGATGAACATCACCTCTGACTCACTTACTCCCGTCAAATGGGTGGCCGGTATTGACTACTTAACCCTCCAAGTTTATCATGACTACCTTCTTAAGATTGTACTCATGCTCGCTATCTGTGCTTCTTGACAGTTTTGATTTAAAAACCCTGCAACTTGTTTTTTAATGGTGCAAAACTCAAAAATTGTGCGACTTTCAAAAGGGTATTCACTTTACGCTCAAATCTTCAAACCTGGAGCTCTGTCGCTTAGTTTCATCATTTGTGACTACTATTTGTCAGTTCAGTCGACGAGAGCAGTTCCAAATCTATGGCAGAGTCGGAATTTTTTTGAAAATTTCATGGGGACCCTGTTGCTCAACGAACACTAGTGTAACGTATGCGTCCGTATGTTGTGTAACATATGCAACGTATGTAACACGTCCACTCATATCAATGTGTTCGGTTTATCCATCATGACGGGGTTAAGGGGGGGGGGCACTTCGGGGATCGCATTACTTCCAACTTTGCCCTGCTTCTTTGTCTTGGTTCTAGAGATCAGAGCCCCTTCATGTGCATCCGGGCTATAAAAATGGCTTGAAAACTCGAAGGCTCTTCTATATTTCCACAATTGATTCCCAGAATTGAATATCACATTTTACTGAACGAGAACATTATTACTTTTTTCTTAAACAAACTCCGTGAGTTTTAGAAAATCATTTGTAATTTCCCAAACCTATCGATCATTTGCCAACAGTACCGCGATTTTCCATTCGTTTTCCACTGCTCATCCGTCATTTTGTGTCGGTCGGGGCGAATTTAGGGCTTATGTCGTCGGCAAGTGTTGAAAGTGCGGATTAGATTCGGCATGCATTGACGTTCGCTTTGAAGTATTGGGGGAAGCTTTGGTGGCGCCTCATTTTCATAGAGGAAGGGGGGGGGGAGGAGGGGGGAGGGCGTTGACTCATTGTCAGAGGTAATTCTTCTTGTTCGGGTGAACTACGGTTGATAACCGTAATCAATTATTGATTTTCTTGGACTGCGGTAGTCTCCATTAGACTTTTTACCTGCTTTTATACCTTTATCTCTACCTAACCTACTTTTCGAAATTTTTTACTCGATAACTCTAGGTGACAAAATAAATGAACAATCACCCTTCTTTCTTGAATTTTTGCCCTATTTCGGAGGGGGAAGGCTGGTTCAGGAACATTATCGACTAGCTCAGGGGCAGAGGGCGATGGTACGGTATTTATTGATTTTTTGGGATTTTACACGGTATCTTCATTGACTTTGTTGGACTTCGTACTCGCCTTATTCTCTTCAATTTTTGCAAATTTCGTTTGATTTTAGACAAAGTAAACACTTACCCCCTAACCTTCTCCTTTTTGTTTTTTTTGCGTCACTCTATCGCCGTATAGTCTCACATGACTCCTTCAAGCCTCTTTTACCTTATAAAAATCTACTTGAAGGTTTGAAGAGCCGCTACCGCCGAGTCGTTGTGTGTGTCACCAGCAGCCAGACTCCGTTCCTTTCCTCCTCGATTTCACTTTCGCCGTTCCGCGCTCAGCACATTTTCCTTGGCGCCCATTGATTTGTGGCGAATGCAATAGTGCTTTCGTCGGGGTTGTCATCACATAGAGCAAGAAGAATGTCACGGAAGTCTTCTGCGTCGACTTCTGATGAGAATCTCGGTCAGCGCACTGTCGCGACATCTGTGATTCGGGACACGGGTACTAAGGTGGGCTTGCTCAAGATTTCGTGGAGGAAAAAACACCATTCATTCGCCTTTTCAAATTTATATCTTTCCAGGTGCAATTAATGTTCAAAGCTCATGGTCTCAAAAAACGGAAAAGTCTGTTCAACACCATTGTCACCGTCTTCAAAAAAGTGAGTAAAGAAAATTCTTCGCTTATAAGTATAGCACTTCACTTTCTTGCTTCTGAGAAAAAGATGAGAAATTTGTTAGAATTTTGATTATTTTCTTCTTCATTGTTCGCTGCAAACGTAAAGCTTTGACTTTTTTCATTTTTGAAAATGCTACGTTTATAGACCAGAAATGTCTTCATAATTGATTTGTCTTCATTTCTTTGAGTTGGAAAGTTTACACATAATATGTAAAGAGTTGCGGTAAAAAGTGGATTTTCAGTTTCTTCCTATACGTTTATCACCGTAAATATAAACTCTCTTATCAGTAAAAATATCCATTTTGAGAACATCTTCAAAACAACTTTTTCAATTTGTTTATTATAATTTTTGGGTCATTTTGATTCATAAACAGAGCATTTTCCAACCATCAAAAGCAAAATGACGTACTGCACACTCTTTTTTTCTAATTTCTTGTCTTTCTTCAATAGGATATCCTTTAATAACTTATTCATTTATTTATCACTGCGCTCATAGGCACGCTGTAATTCAGCAACTGTAGGGAAAAGTCTAAGCTTAGGACAGACTAGCAAGCCGAAAAAAGAAGGAAACATCAGTAAATAAAAGGTGATTATTCATAAGACAGTAACAGATTTGTCAACTAGTCATGGGTATCCCTATGAATTTTTTCATCTTTACGTTATGATAAAACTTGCTCCTTTGCACTCGCATATGCGCTATAATTTGCAATTGTCCATTTTATGCTCATTTTAGCATATCCAGAACCTGTTGTTCCTCACTTAAGTCTCTGCAGCGAAGCGTAATGCCCTCCCATAATCTGCATTCATAGTAGCAGTGTATGCGCATGAATTAAGCGAATTACACGAACGACTGTCCTTCGATGCGCGCATTTTCGCCATCGGCTTACGGAAGAGAAGAACATCACATCTGCGCACATGTAGCTGAGTCACGAGGGCGCCTGCGCTTCACACAAAAGAGCCTCAGAAAATTGTGTTTGCTGATCGTCTCTCACTCGCTGACGCATTTCATCTTCTCAAACATTCACATCATTGTGAAGAAATTCTGAATAGGTTATTTCGCAACGCTATCGATTTTTTGCGATTTTTCAGCAAAAAATGTATGATAGAAATTTGCGAGGGAAGCGATAAAATTCAAATTTTGTTGGAGTTGATGAAATGCCAGTGTAAATCTTTGACGAACCCAATATGCAAGTGAAGGTCGTGATGCGTGCAGAATATCGACATCGTTAAGGTTGCAATGCATTTTATGCGTCTTTTTTCGAATTTTATTCGTAAAATCCAAGCAACCTGATTGTCCATAATGCTGTGGGGACTGGCACAAGCCATGGTTTAGCTTTCCCTGCCTCTTAGGCCGGATCATTCCTCTGACTGTTCTGACCGCTTTAAAAACAAACATTTATTGAAACTAGGGAAAGTTTCCACCTTGATTGACCGTATTGAGGCCAGGGCTCGGCACGAGGTGGCTGGATGAAAAAGCCAAAAACGAAGTCCCCCTTGACTTTTGCGAATTTTTACGAAGTCTTCTTTGACCCTGGAATCTTATTTTCTAAAAAATCTCCGAAAAACGAAACGTCGACTATAAAAAACCTCGCAAGTTGCTTGTCTTTTCGTCCACAAAGACGAAACCTCCTTTGCGTTTTGTCCCAAAACGATATCCAGCTTGCTTATAAGCCACCTGTGCCGAGCTCTGATTGAGGCCAATTGTGTATAGTCACCACTCAACTCGAAGTAGTCTTCTTTTTAAGTGGAGCATAGCAAAATATTTATTTATTTATTTATTTATTTATTTATTACATACGCTCTAGGCGTTCCTTAAAAAGACAAAAATACACATTGCTCAAAAAAGATTAGAGGCTTTAGCTATTTCAGCCAAATTCTAATTATCCTAAGGAGCAGACTTTTATGGGGGTTGATCTTGAGCAGAATATGGGTTTATCAATGTATAAGCATAGATAATCCCTTAAGTTTCAAAATGGTAAAGCTCTTCTTACCAAGATGGTAATCTTTAGTGATGGTGAAATATGGTGAAATACCTACTGAAGCGACCTAGTTAGACTAGTCTGGAACAGTTGTAAAGAAGAAATGGCGTTAAACAGTGATAAATTCAATTTATTGCCAATTATCTGCTAGATATGGCCACCGTTGGGTATCTATGGCCCCTCTCTAGCAATAAATCCTCATTTCATGATCAATTAAAGCTCCAGAATTTGATTCAACAAAACAACTTGGACGGTTAAACTCAAGAGTTGAGAATATTAAACTTTTTGGTGTATTTAATAATAACAAGAATTCTTAATTGCTTTCTAAACTTCGACTAGTTTATGAAGTCGACATATTTATAAAGGACTCGTTCTTGGAATCAAATGTGGTAAACCAACGACATTTCCTTGTAAATTCATCTTTCATAGTCTCCGATGAATCAATATTTTTCAACAACTATTCAAATATTGCAAGGCTAGAATCAAAGTAAACAACTTCTCCCGCACATATCAAAAAGAAATGACTCTATTGCTATTTTGAGGCAGATTATTCGATATTCTCATGCTATAAAAATTAAGTGAATACTGAGAAAATTTCCTTATATTGAATAAGCGACAACAAAATGCCGTTTTATGCTTATATTATTATGAAATAGTCAAAATTGCTCTTGAACTTGCAGGTTTGCCTGAATGCATCATCTTTGCAGCCTAGCACTCCATCACGATTGTTATCGAATGGAAAGTTTACAAAGTTCGACCTGAGGCCTCACTCCATCTCCTTCATCCTAGAAGTGCAAACGGAAAAGAAGTTGAAAAAGGTGAGCTGGTCATACTTGAAGAACACCTTCTATATTTTTCGCTAGAAAATTGGTAGAGTAGATCATTTAAGACTTCATCTGTATTTTTACATCATTCACATTCTATCTTTATATATGTAACAAGGATACGCATTTCTAGGGCGCAAAGGCCAACGCCACATGAATTTTATGTATTTTTCCGAACAACTAAATAAATTTCTATAAATTATCTTCAAAAGATCAGATCAGTAAGTGGCAGTGAAACAGAGCTAAGAGCAACATTATCTTCATTATCTTTTTTTGCGAAAGCATTTTGATTACCTGTGTTCTTGAACGAGGATTCTTTTTATGGCATGGCTACCGGAGTTCCAAAAATTGGATTACTTTACAATTTCGTGTAGCTGCATTTCCATCTATTTGCTAGAGCTATCATCATCCTTTCAATGCAGTATTATTTTTTATTCATGTTTTGATGCATTCAATTCCACTTCAACATAATTTTTTTGGGTAGAACGCTCCCCATTTGTCCAATGTACCGGAGAAGGTAACCGATCCCCTAGAATAGAATGCATGTCCCTAATGCTTGACTATATCAATGGCTAAAATGGATACTAAGTCTTAACAGAACCTTTTAATAAATTGCATGTAAAGATCCCTAGCCCTATCAAAACAAAGTATTAGAAGTTCTACGTTGAGCCAAGCTACAGTATGTTCAGTTTGTCTTTCAGGGGAACAACAATCGAGTAGAGACATTTGCTTGTGAAATCAAGCAGTTTCCCACATCAGTAAATCCAGACAGTGCCGAGTTCGAGGCAAGTTTGTTTCTTGATACTTCTGAAAACGCAGTTTTTCCTTGGAAACCCTCTTTTTTCGGACTGCGAGGTGTGGCTTGTTAATTTGACGTCTAATTTTTTTTTATGTTGAAGGTGCTTGAACCGGCAAGCGGGGAATGCTTCATCTTGTTATCCCTTATCAAAATGGATAACCTAGCAGTAAATTGGAAGGAGTTCCTTGAAAGTAATGGTACCCTTGACGTAACTTGCATCTGAAAGACGCAAAAAATGCATACAGTAATGATACTGAGGTATGAAATAGCTATTCCACTGCTCCCTCAGCCAATATCGCTCATTTAAAAAATAGCTTTTTCTCATATTGAATGGCTTACCCGTAAGCTGAATTCATCTTGTAGTAATTCATGTGCTCTTTTTCCCTCTGTGAAAATATGGTGTATAATAATGTGAAAATGTGTCAATCAATAAAGCTGTCCACTTGTGCGCTTTTCTCTTTTTATCAATTGATATATCATTTTACTTCAAGCGGAAACTGCACAGACCGTTGACGTTTCATCTTTTAAAGAAGATGCATTCAATTCCCTTCACCTCCGTTTCGGTGTATCGATTTACTCATTGTTTTTTCGATTATGTTTGTGATTTATTGTTGCACTAACGTTATATAAATAAAGGTTCTTTTGTCTCATCAGATCGTTTAGTCTTTCGTACGTTTGTTTGGAACACTCACCATGCCATTTCCGCAGGCAAGCGTATAGAGGAAATCTATGAAGAAGACTAAAGAATGAGGGTAATTTAGGTTGTACCGTAAGCAAATCTCAAAATCCCTGACTGTACAAGTTTTGCAGGAGGGGTTGAGTTCTTTTCCAGGATTCAAATATATTTAATTCCTACAATCTTCCAGTTCTGATATGGGTATCCCAGAAGTGAGTACACTCTTTTGATCGTTAGTAACTTTCTTCCCACAAAGTTTTTTGCTTAGCTTCAAGGCCATTCGGTAGAGTAGAGTTTAACTTAGATTTACAGTATGAAGCAAATCACTCATCGCTCTTCATTACTGTAGGATTACGGTAACAAGCTTTAGCATATACGCCATCATGAAAATGGTTTACAATAAAAAGTTTCAAAAATTTTTGGAAAGCTGTGCAGAGGTGTTTTTAGACATTTTGACTCTACTAAAGTACCTTTTGCATATTTTTAAGGCGTTTTTAATGGTGCTTTTACCACATTTTGCAAAACACAAAAAATCTTACTGTGGATTACCTGGCATAACTTATGGAAAAAACTTTTACGGTAAGTGCAAGCTTCATATTCATAGTCAGCAACTGGGTTCTCGTTAAGCATCCATTTGGGGCAGAATGTAGCCATTAATGGCTCAAATCTTTTAGATGTCTATCGTAATCCTACACTATCGAAGAAAGTTGAGTGATTCTCTTTAAATTGCAATTCTAAGTTGAGGCTTGCTCCAAATGGTGTTTGGAACTACTCAGACAATCACAGGCTCTCAGCGGGCCCCATCAAAAGCGTCGTTGCCTTATCGCAGCCACTGTCGCTTCCCGTTGAGAGCGTTCCCGCTGCCCGCTGAGCCCGCTCCGACAAGCTCCGACAAAACTCCGACAAAGCTCTCAGCGGGAAGCGACAGTGAGGCGATGAGGCCACCGCGCTTTTGGTGGGTCTAGGCGGTGGCTTTGCGGCTGCCGGCTGAGAGCATTTGATTGTCTGAGTAAGCAAAAGATTCGTAAAAAAGATCTATTACCGATCGAAAAGTGTGTATTCACTTTTGGTACACCCTGTATACAAGCTAGCAATCGCCGTAGTGTGGACTTGAAGGGAGAGGGAAGGGTGGCAAAATTGGCAGTATTAATCGAATCCGATGTTGGTTGTGGAAGCATATCTTTCAGCGATGTGAGATCTTTTTAGACGGAGAGTTATCTGATAAGAACTGGATTGTTGGATCTCAAAATATGTTTAAGTAAGAATGCATACATAGTATTACGGAGTAAAAACAAAACTAGACTACCATACATGCCAAAAAGCAAAAATTACGTCACAAATAAATTACCTTGGAACAATGATTTGAAGAAGAAATAACTAAGCGTATAGTTTGGGCTGCCAAAACTATTAGCCCCGTAGGGGACTCGAACCCCTGACCCTTAGATTAAAAGTCTAATGCTCTACCAACTGAGCTAACGAGGCCTCGATGGCAGAAGCGGTTTATGTAATAAACATGTCGAAACCATATTGCAGGAATGTCCTCCGGCGCCCTTTAGGTACGATGGCACGATATTCATGAAAAAGCGTATAGTTTGGGCTGCCAAAACTATTAGCCCCGTAGGGGACTCGAACCCCTGACCCTTAGATTAAAAGTCTAATGCTCTACCAACTGAGCTAACGAGGCCTCGATGGCAGAAGCGGTTTATGTAATAAACATGTCGAAACCATATTGCAGGAATGTCCTCCGGCGCCCTTTAGGTACGATGGCACGATATTCATGAAAAAGCGTATAGTTTGGGCTGCCAAAACTATTAGCCCCGTAGGGGACTCGAACCCCTGACCCTTAGATTAAAAGTCTAATGCTCTACCAACTGAGCTAACGAGGCCTCGATGGCAGAAGCGGTTTATGTAATAAACATGTCGAAACCATATTGCAGGAATGTCCTCCGGCGCCCTTTAGGTACGATGGCACGATATTCATGAAAAAGCGTATAGTTTGGGCTGCCAAAACTATTAGCCCCGTAGGGGACTCGAATTCCTGACCCTTAGATTAAAAGTCTAATGCTCTACCAACTGAGCTAACGAGGCCTCGATGGCAGCAGCGTTTTATGTAATAAACATGTCGAAACCATATTGCAGGAATGTCCTCCGGCGCCCTTTAGGTACGATGCACGATATTCATGAAAAAGCGTATAGTTTGGGCTGCCAAAACTATTAGCCCCGTAGGGGACTCGAATTCCTGACCCTTAGATTAAAAGTCTAATGCTCTACCAACTGAGCTAACGAGGCCTCGATGGCAGCAGCGTTTTATGTAATAAACATGTCGAAACCATATTGCAGGAATGTCCTCCGGCGCCCTTTAGGTACGATGCACGATATTCATGAAAAAGCGTATAGTTTGGGCTGCCAAAACTATTAGCCCCGTAGGGGACTCGAATTCCTGACCCTTAGATTAAAAGTCTAATGCTCTACCAACTGAGCTAACGAGGCCTCGATGGCAGCAGCGTTTTATGTAATAAACATGTCGAAACCATATTGCAGGAATGTCCTCCGGCGCCCTTTAGGTACGATGCACGATATTCATGAAAAAGCGTATAGTTTGGGCTGCCAAAACTATTAGCCCCGTAGGGGACTCGAACCCCTGACCCTTAGATTAAAAGTCTAATGCTCTACCAACTGAGCTAACGAGGCCTCGATGGCAGAAGCGGTTTATGTAATAAACATGTCGAAACCATATTGCAGGAATGTCCTCCGGCGCCCTTTAGGTACGATGGCACGATATTCATGAAAAAGCGTATAGTTTGGGCTGCCAAAACTATTAGCCCCGTAGGGGACTCGAATTCCTGACCCTTAGATTAAAAGTCTAATGCTCTACCAACTGAGCTAACGAGGCCTCGATGGCAGCAGCGTTTTATGTAATAAACATGTCGAAACCATATTGCAGGAATGTCCTCCGGCGCCCTTTAGGTACGATGCACGATATTCATGAAAAAGCGTATAGTTTGGGCTGCCAAAACTATTAGCCCCGTAGGGGACTCGAATTCCTGACCCTTAGATTAAAAGTCTAATGCTCTACCAACTGAGCTAACGAGGCCTCGATGGCAGCAGCGTTTTATGTAATAAACATGTCGAAACCATATTGCAGGAATGTCCTCCGGCGCCCTTTAGGTACGATGCACGATATTCATGAAAAAGCGTATAGTTTGGGCTGCCAAAACTATTAGCCCCGTAGGGGACTCGAACCCCTGACCCTTAGATTAAAAGTCTAATGCTCTACCAACTGAGCTAACGAGGCCTCGATGGCAGAAGCGGTTTATGTAATAAACATGTCGAAACCATATTGCAGGAATGTCCTCCGGCGCCCTTTAGGTACGATGGCACGATATTCATGAAAAAGCGTATAGTTTGGGCTGCCAAAACTATTAGCCCCGTAGGGGACTCGAACCCCTGACCCTTAGATTAAAAGTCTAATGCTCTACCAACTGAGCTAACGAGGCCTCGATGGCAGAAGCGGTTCATGTAATAAACATGTCGAAACCATATTGCAGGAATGTCCTCCGGCGCCCTTTAGGTACGATGGCACGATATTCATGAAAAAGCGTATAGTTTGGGCTGCCAAAACTATTAGCCCCGTAGGGGACTCGAACCCCTGACCCTTAGATTAAAAGTCTAATGCTCTACCAACTGAGCTAACGAGGCCTCGATGGCAGAAGCGGTTTATGTAATAAACATGTCGAAACCATATTGCAGGAATGTCCTCCGGCGCCCTTTAGGTACGATGGCACGATATTCATGAAAAAGCGTATAGTTTGGGCTGCCAAAACTATTAGCCCCGTAGGGGACTCGAACCCCTGACCCTTAGATTAAAAGTCTAATGCTCTACCAACTGAGCTAACGAGGCCTCGATGGCAGAAGCGGTTTATGTAATAAACATGTCGAAACCATATTGCAGGAATGTCCTCCGGCGCCCTTTAGGTACGATGGCACGATATTCATGAAAAAGCGTATAGTTTGGGCTGCCAAAACTATTAGCCCCGTAGGGGACTCGAACCCCTGACCCTTAGATTAAAAGTCTAATGCTCTACCAACTGAGCTAACGAGGCCTCGATGGCAGAAGCGGTTTATGTAATAAACATGTCGAAACCATATTGCAGGAATGTCCTCCGGCGCCCTTTAGGTACGATGGCACGATATTCATGAAAAAGCGTATAGTTTGGGCTGCCAAAACTATTAGCCCCGTAGGGGACTCGAATTCCTGACCCTTAGATTAAAAGTCTAATGCTCTACCAACTGAGCTAACGAGGCCTCGACGGCAGCAGCGTTTTATGTAATAAACATGTCGAAACCATATTGCAGGAATGTCCTCCGGCGCCCTTTAGGTACGATGCACGATATTCATGAAAAAGCGTATAGTTTGGGCTGCCAAAACTATTAGCCCCGTAGGGGACTCGAATTCCTGACCCTTAGATTAAAAGTCTAATGCTCTACCAACTGAGCTAACGAGGCCTCGATGGCAGCAGCGTTTTATGTAATAAACATGTCGAAACCATATTGCAGGAATGTCCTCCGGCGCCCTTTAGGTACGATGCACGATATTCATGAAAAAGCGTATAGTTTGGGCTGCCAAAACTATTAGCCCCGTAGGGGACTCGAATTCCTGACCCTTAGATTAAAAGTCTAATGCTCTACCAACTGAGCTAACGAGGCCTCGATGGCAGCAGCGTTTTATGTAATAAACATGTCGAAACCATATTGCAGGAATGTCCTCCGGCGCCCTTTAGGTACGATGCACGATATTCATGAAAAAGCGTATAGT